GTAACCTAGCACCGCTTGGGAGATGAAGCTCTACCTGGGGAAAGTCGAAGCAGGTGTTGTTAGAAGGAGAATTCGCAAAGCACGAGGAGGAAGGGCACGCACCGCCGAACCTCCAAATAACCGTTCCCCAAGTAAGCGGCTGTGATGTCGTTGCGGCCGAGAAGGGCGCGTATGGTGGACGTTGGGTGGGAGCGCAGCGCATTGTGTGTATGGCTATCCCTAAAGCGTTAGTCCTCTTGCAGAGAGATAGCAGGGCATTGCGGAACAACCCTCTTACAGCTGAATAGCTAGCGCCCTCGACGGCTAAGAGCTGGGCTGCAAGTTGATTAGAAATAACAAGGCCCACCTGGTCCAATGTGCTACGCGGGTTTCTTCGAAAAACGTGAATGGCATAACCGTGATCTGTGACTATGAGTTGTTTTGTGCAATCGGAGATGGTTGAGGAGTTTTCGGTCCAGGAGAGGGCGAACTCTTTGTTGTCGCTAAGCTAGATGTCCCCTAACGCTGAGCCCGACATTTTAGCAACTAGGGGGTATGCACACTGTTCCTCTGGTAGTGGGGTCCAGAGAATGGTGGAGCCGTCGGATAGTGTGCAGGTTCCTCCTTGTGAGAGCAAGCCGAAAGATCTCCTACTGGGGCTAGAGGCGACTTATCGCCGTGGCGATATTGAAGTGTGGTGGGAAAGGAGTAGCAGTTAGTAATAATGATCGAGTGCTCTACGCAACATCCGAATGGTGCGGAAGGGAAGTTGGACGAGAGTAAATTTTGTGTTCGCCATATTCCATCCGTCTCGACAAGAGAGCCATAAAGGCAACGATTGTGGAATGTCACCTTCTTGCATTCTTCTGCCGAGACTGCCAAGTGGGACTCGATGTGATGCTCATTGCGGGCCCCGAAGAAGTTGACCGAATACGTAACCGTGGGGCGGACGATTTTATAGAATGAGGCAGGTGAGGAATAAAGCGGCGTATTTGGCCGGTAGACGTGAAGAGCAATTCGATGTGGTGGTGCAAGTTGAGTGGGCGGAAGTCCGGAGCAATTTTGCGGGCCTGGTAGCAGGAACAAGGTAGAAGGGCCTTCTGAAGGGCATAGCTAGGCCGCGTGAGCCATGCCAGGCTTTGAAAGGTAAGCGAGAGAAAGCACTAAACAGAACAGCAGGCGAACGTCCGGAAGAGAAGTGGTGGCCGATCCAGATGGTATATGCGAAGGTGGGTTATCTACAGTTGTTCGAGCCCGAGCTAACTCTTCGTTCCGACGGAGCAAAGCCTCGATGCGTGCCCGAGAGTTTTCGAGTTGGAGACGAAGTCGCTGAGGGAGGCCGTAAGCTGGGTGATGCTGGTATGGGAGTTGTTGTAGCCGGTGGCCGGTTGCGCAGGGCCGTCGCAGGGAGGGTCGCAGCACAGGGTATTACCCTGAGGAGGTCAAGGTTGGGTTACGATCTCATAGTTGTTTCTGCGAGCTGCATGTGGCCTAACCTTTGCGCGTGGTTGCAAACGGGAGCTGGAGGTGCGTGAACGCCCTGCCGACGGGCAAGAAAATGCGAAGTGTCCAATATCGTTGCAATTGTAACAACGGACTTCCTCCGTGGCCCGGAGAGCTCGTGATTGAGGTGGTAGCTGTTGGCGCCACGGGGAGGCCTGTGGGGTCATCCGAGGTCTGAAAGGACTGCTTTGTGGTACTGCTTCTGCGTTTGTGGCGGGCCTTTGCGGAAAGGTCGAACAACACCTGAATCGTTGTGCCGATGCCGAGTGGAGCAAGCGTTCTGCTGTTGCTTCACTCAACAGCTGTTCTACCGTTTGCGGCTTAGTAACGGCTTGTTCGAACGTGGACGGGTTGTCCAACTTGACGAAGTAACGCACGTCGCTGCGCAGGCGGGCGACAAATTCTTCCAATACACGACCTTTTGGAGTCGCAGGGTCCTGGTCCGATGTAGCTGCGCGAACTAGGTGAAGGACCCGGTTGGCAAACATTGTGCATGATTTGCCGGGTTCCTGACGACAGGCCGTAGTTTCTGCCGAGCAACGTATCGCTGCTGTGGACTCTCGAAAAATGCGGCAAGGTGGGAAACTACCGCCGAATAGGAGCGTTTAGTGTCGGAGTCGAGTTCTTCCACCTTCTCCTTGGCTACGCCGTCTAGGTGTCCAATGAGGTGGTTAGCCTGTTGTTCTTCGGTAAGGGGCACCGGGCACATGCGCATGATATCTTCCAGCCGGCGCAACCAGATGGAGAACCGCACGCCGTTTTCGGAGGCTCCGGAGAAGGTAGAGACTCATGGAGTCTGAGGGTCAGGCTGGATCATCGCAATCGCCGGCAAGCTGTCCAAAAGCTGCCCCACTGCAGCGAAGGGGTCATTGAGTTTCTCAGTGAAGGCTGCGTTGCCTTCGTTGATCTTACGAGTGAGTAACGCCGTCGTAGCACAGGTATCGCTCCAAACTTGTGACAGGGCAGACGTCGTGGCGTCACGGAGGCGCTTGACGTCCCTGCCATGGAGAAGAGCGTCATCCTGTATGTCGTCGAGGCCGGGTAGGGAGAGACCAGAGACGGCCTCATCCTTGACCGGCATTGTATCAGAAAGCTGGGCAGGAGCCCTGAGGGTGGATGACGAAGATGACTTGGACATACTGCGATAATCGGCATAACGACGGATAGCAGCAGAAAAAGGTGGTCTATCTGCACCGATGGTATAATATATAAGGACGGGCGCGCGTGGGTGAGGCTCGGATATGCGAGGAATCATGCGTGATGTTATGTGAACTTTATCCTACCAAACGATAAAAAAATGTTGTGGGAGCCGACGGCCTTGGGGTGATGCGTCGAGAAGATAGCAGGATTCCAGCGTGGGACTGGAAAAGCGGTAATATGCTGCCGCGTCTGTAAACAATCGCGCGGCGTCGAGCCGCCGATGAAGTCCGTCGCTCCCGTAAGCCAAAGACATCCGATCATCTTGTCAACGAGTGCCCTGAGCTTCGACCCAAGAAACGCGTCTTTTCTCTGTTCAATTACCCGAGATTGAGTTGAAACATGCAGTCTATGGTGGCATTTCAAAGTAATCAGAGAATTTTTCTCCTCAATCGTCAAATACCATGATTATGAAAGATTCTCGCGAGTTGCGCCCAAACCCTATAGAAGGCAAGATCCAGGCGTAGGAATTGTTCATATAC